AACTTTGATAAATAGTTGACGAATCCAAGTAAGGTAAGTAGTTCTTTCTTACTAGTCGGCTTAGGCATCTCTTTGATGGCTTTGACCTTGTCCGGGTCGGGTTTCAGACCATTCTTCGATATMACGTGGCCCATGTACTTCACCTCTGCCTCCTTAAGACACATTTTGCTGCTGTTTAGTTTCAGGTTTATCTTTCTGGCCCTCTCTAAAAGACCTTTGAGATTCTGGTCGTGATTCTCTTCTGCTTCGGCTTGTGTTTCTCCCTTGCTAGGACCAATATGTCATCTCTCAGTACTATGATTCCTGGTAAATCATCCAAGTGCTCATGGAGTTTGCTCTCAAACACTTCTGGGGCTAGACTGAMACCGAATGGCATTCTTAGGTAACAATATCGGCCTTGAGGTGTCCAAAATGTAGTGAGTCGACTGCTTTCTTCTTCCAGTTCGACCTGGTAAAACCCATCTTTAGCGTCTAGAGTGCTGAAAACTTTTGCATTGTTGATCTTAGGTAAGATTTCTTCTAGTGTGGGCATCTGGTATCGTGGACGCAGTATGGCTTTGTTTAGTTCTTGAGGATCTAGGCAGATTCTAGTCTTCTTCGGCGTTATCCTGACTACCATGTTGCTTATCCACTCAGTCGGCTCAGTCACCTTGGCAATGATTCCCTTGCTTTCCATTTCATCTAGCTTTGATTTCACTCTCTCTTCATAGGCACATGCTAATCTTCGTGGTGCTTGTTGGACAGGCATGACCTCAGGCTTTAGCAACAATTTGGAGTTTCCAATATGACCCAGGCCTTCAAAGACATCCTTGTAGTGGCTGTTAATGTACTCTTTTGTTAATGTAGTACTGCTTTTCTCTTCTTGGGTATATTGAACTGCATTTATTGGCTCTACGTTGATCACGATGAGGTCTAGCTTCTTGCATGTTTCTAGAGATATCAGTGGTTGGCACTTGATTTCAACTATTTGAAATTTAGTTGGGTACAGCTTGTTTTTTCTTTCGATCTCCAGTGTTGTTTCTCCAACTGGTTTGACTATGGTTCCATCAAACAGCTTTAAACTCACTTTAGAATTCTCGAGTGTTGGGTCGCCATCTTGTAGAAGGATCATCAGATCTTTGTAATTCATCACATTACAGGTTGCACCTGTGTCTAACTGACATTCAATCAGCTCTTTGTGGTTGTCTGGAGTGTTGAATAACAACTTGGTTGTTAAACGTTTGCTTGTTCGTTTGACTGCTGCTATTTCCTCTATAGTTAGAATGTCGTCGTCCGAATCTTCGTCAGATACTTCTTCATCCAGCATGTGAACTTGTTGTTTGCTTTTCTGCATGCATACTTTGGCAAAATGGTTGGCTTTCTTGCAAATTCGGCATGTTAGACCGTACGCTGGACAGTCGTTTCGCTTTGCGTGTCGTTTATTTCCACAAAATAAACACATTTCACCACTTTTCTTCGTTGATTTCGCTGATTTTGCATGATTCGCTTTCTGTTTAACTTGTGTTGTTTTGCTTGTGTCGCCGGTTTGTTGACCTTTGTGACCGTGTTTAGCTTTAATCATGTTGACATTTTCGCTGCTTGGTTGTTTGTTTTGAATCGCTTTGACTTGTTTCTCGGCGTGTTCACTCGCTCTGCACATATCCAAAGCCTTGGTTAAAGTTAAATCTTGCTCTTTAAGGAGTCGTAGTTTAATGCTGCGGCTGTTTAGACCAATTATCAATCTATCTCGGATGAACTCATCGGTTTTGTCTTTGTAATCACATGTCGACGCGAGTTTGCGTAAGCGATTTACGTAGACTTCAATTCCTTCGTCTTCTTGTTGACAGCATGTGTTGAACTCATATCTTTCATAGATGATGTTTCTTGTTGGTATAAAGTAAGCCTGCAATTTATCCTCAGCTTCTTTGACCGTGCAGTCGCTTTTTAAGCCAAGATTCTGGAGAATTTGAACACACTCTCGTCCCATGACAGAACGAAAGGTGGCAAGACGAATTTTTTCGCTTCTCTTATCGAGACCAGTCGCTATTTCGTAATCCCTCCATTGCTGAAGAAAAAACTCCCAGTTACCGACTTGATCCCCTCGACACATCATCGGAGTTGGTACTGGAAAATTTGACGGTACGCTAATTTGCGGGTCGTTGGTTTCTGGCATGTTTGTCGTTGATTCACTCCTCCACGCACGTGGTCGTTGTTRTTAGACTATTTCCAAGATATTGTTGATTCTGTTCGATCCTTCGATTCACTTCGAGCTTTGTTGTCTGTTTTCCGGATCTGTTTGTTGACGTTC